AGGTTGGGCAATCCTACTTCCGTAGTGATACTGCCTCGGAAACCCAAGGAGGGGTCGCTATGAGTCAGGGCTGACTCGACGGCACATAACAACAACAACCAGAACAAAGAAAGCTGTCTTGGATGAAGGATAGCCAGAACACTCCTCCATAGTGAGGACGGGGAACTTTGCCTCTTGTACTATGGTCATGTTGTTAGAAGGGACCAGTCCCTGGAGAAGAATATCATGGTTCGTCAACTGATGAATTAGCACAATGGCTACAAAAATGGGCTCAAGCCTACCAGCAACTGTGAGGATGGCGCCGGACCAGGCAGTGTTTGTTCTGTGGCACATAAGGTCACTATGAGTCGGAACCAACCCCACGGCACCCAACAACAACAGATTCTGAAATTAATCTGTTTTCTTATTCAAAGGCAGAATTACACACATCAAGCTATCAGTTTTATATCATTTTAGAACTTAGAAGTTTTCCCAACTGTGGGCCAGGTCTCCTTATCCATACTAACAAAGAGTAATGATGGAGAAAATTAAAATGTCTTTTGTATTCCTAAATTTTGACTTCACTTAAGAATGGTTTGTATAAAATCTAGTAGCAAACTTTCCTTCTTATCTATTCTATTTATGTTAATATTAAGAATAGATTTGAATTTACACATTTCTTGCAGCACATTATATAGCAGAGGGGTGGGAGTAAAAAGAGAAGTGAAATTAAAATTTTGTATATCCTTAACATTTAAAAAAATAACTGGCACATAGTAGGAGCTTCATATTTATTTACTGGAACAAAGATATTTCAATTTTCTGGAGAAAAAAAAACCTATGTATTTATACCTATATCTACATGAAAGGAGCTCTGGTGGTGTAGTGCCTAAGGTATTTGACTATTAATCAGAAGGTTGGTGGTTCAAACCCTTCAGCCACTCTGCAGAAGGAAGACTGAGCAATCTACTTCCGTAAGGATTTACCGCCTTGGAAACCCAAAGGGGGTCGCTATGAGTTGGAATCAACTCAGTGGCAGTGAGTTTGGTTTTGGATTATATCTACATGAAAAGAAAATCCCAGCTTTGTGACCACTGCAAATGGGATGTACAGTCTGTGCCTGCACAACAGCCCCTGGCTGAGGAGTGAGTGAGGGCTGAAATCCAATCAGTTTTTCACAAGCAGAGCCGGTGCCCTGGCTCCAAGCTGTGAGAGGTTGGAGGGCCTGCCCAGAGAAAAGGGTGCCTTTTTCTAATTGCTGCCCTGGAGGGTGTGCCCTTGATCTAATTCATACAATGGCACCAGGTGTGTTAACAGTCTGCCTGTTTTGTGATTGCTTTCTGAATCAGTTGAAGTGATTATTTGAATTTCAGAAGGTTTTTTTTTTTTTTTTTTTAATTTTAAGGTCTGTATGTGTTGGGACAATTAAGGCCAATCACATAATTGCATGCATACATATATACCCTAAAGTGAATTATTTACAGAACTTTGCCAAATACAGAAGTAGAAGACTTAGAAAAACATTATTACATGTACGGTTGTTCTTGCAGTCCAGTGAATCAATGTCCTTGGAATGGATTTCCTTAGATGAATTCTTGTCGGGGGCAGCGTGGTTGGTAACATCGTCACTATCTTGCCAAGTGGTTTTTTTTGTTTGTTGACATGGTCTCTTTCTTTTCGAACCTTGGGCTTTAGAGTTTCTGCCTTGAATAGTTCTGGTAATAGGGATGGTTTCAAGCTTTTCTCAATTTCCAAAACGCTGCATTTAAAAGAGTGTGATTCAGGGACACTGGCACAGTTTTCACTGAAAATTTCAGTTTTCTTCTTATAGGGGGTTTGCATTTCTTTCTTGTATTCTGCAAATGTTACTGAATATTGTTTTTTATTGTTGTTATTTTTTCCTTTCAATCTCTGACAATAGTGGTCTCCTACTTTAAATGTCTCCCCATCCTCTGAGTTGACATGAGTTAAAGTGTGACTCTGTCGGGAAGGAAAAGTGAACGTGCTTGAGGACTCTTCATCTTCATCTGGAATTTTACAACTAGGAACTCTTGGATACGGTGACAGTCCTGCTTCCGATCTGTCTTGCACGGTCAGTTTATAGATGTTAAGATGCTCCTTCTTTTCAATGGACTTCATTTTCAGTGTCCTTTCAAAGCAAGCATTTGATTGAATTATTTCTGATTTATAACCCCAACTCCATGGGTCTTGAGTCTCTGCTTTAAAAACAGAATTTTCTGCTACAGGAAACTGTGGGAAGTCATGCTCTTTCCCTTGATTCTTGACCATTACATTTGTAAGTTTTTCTGATGGCTTACTTAATGGAATCACCTGGATATTTTTGTTGGAAGAAGGTGTTACTTTTATTAAATTTGTTGTTTTGGCTCCTTCTACAGAGTAATTTTTCTGCTCCCTAATAAGTGATAGATTTTCTTTCATATTGAGCAAAGGAAATAATTCTTTTTCTTTCTTTCTGATCAGTTCTGTTTCTAAAGGTCTATCCAGAGTCATCTTTTGTAAGTTGGTTTTTTGAGTAGTTTTTGAGTATTTATTTTGCTTCTCTGAATCCTCCTCCATAAACTTACTTTCATTTCTAAAAGATAAATCTGTCTTCATACATTTTAATGGTGTGGAACTGGAATTAATTAAATTTATACACTGGTTGATGTCTTCTAATTGCTTCTTGGTGATTAGTCTGGATTTTGAAAGTTTTTCTATAAAAAGACCCTGGAGGTGTTTGCCTAAATCAGATTTTAGATTTGATAGTTCATTTTCTGATGGAGCTAGAGGATAGTTTTGTGGAGATTTATTTAAAGGATATGGTGTGTTTATTTCAAGCCTTCTACCAAAACTCCCTCTTGAACTATCATGTCCTGAGTCATGTAAAGACATTGAGGCGTTTTCCGTTCTTAGAGAAGATGCATTTGGGAGTATACTCGCAGATTCTGGCTCTTCAAATAACTTAATTTCTGAAAAGTTTTCTAGGAAATAGTTTTTGAGAATTTCACTTAAAAAAGAACTTAGCTTTATTTCTAAATGTTTACCTATGAAGTTATTATGAAAATTACTTATAAAAGATATGATTTCTTTCACAGCTTCTGAATATTTCTCCTGAAAAACGTTTTGCCTTCTTGGTTCTGATTTTTCATTCATCAAGCACAGATTTTGATAGATTTTTGGTAAATCCTCCTTGGTGATATGTCCTGATTCTGATAGTCTTTCTACAAGGTAATGCTGGATGTGTTTACTTAATTCAGATTTTAAATGTTTTATTTCTGACTCTGAGAGTTCTTCTAGAAATATACGCAGCTTTGGGTTCAAAATAGGTTTTCTGTCTAATATGTCAGCTTTGCCAACATTTTCTCTGATTTTTTCAAGGCCTTCTGTATCATCTGTAAAAGAATATTGAATTAGTCTTTGTAATTCTCTTTCTGGTTGTCTTCTTCTTTCAGACTGGTGATACTTGAAAAAAACATAAAAGATGTGTTTTAAGAAGGATTTTAATATTACTTTATCTGATTCATTGAGCTTTTCTATTAAGGAATTGCTTAAAATGTCCAGAGTAGTGTTAAGTTCATTTTCCTCTTTATAAAACCTCTGACCATTCCTTGGCAGATCGGTTTTTGTATCTGGTATTGAGTGAGATTTTGAATCTTGTAGGGGTATATTTTGACCTTCCTCTGTAAACTCAATTGTATTGAGAATGCAGGAGGTTTCTTTGGGAATAGAGGGTAGTCTGTGCTCTGAGGGAGGTTCTGTTTTGATTTTGATTTCTGAATACTCCTTTGTGGAATAGTTTGGCTTTTCTTCAGGAGAGCCTTCCTCTGAATCCAACAAAGAACTCTCTTGGTGTCCTTTATCTAATTCTATCACTTTGATTAACTCGGATCCTAAAAGAGTGTCTACTGGAAATACTTGCATTTTCTGATTTATAGCAGATTTAGACTGGGACAACTCACTGTCACCATCTTTTTTTTCACAGCAAGCCCCATTATGTGGAAGCAAACTTCTCTCCCCAGCTGGGGGTAACTGATCGTGCACATTCAGCTTTCTTTCACAGAGCTCTTTCACTTCTTTCTCCAACTCTGAGGAAATCACGGTGGTAAATATTTGCTTTATAACATGGTCCTGTATACCAGCCTCTAAGTCCTTGGTAGAGATATGTTCCCTTTCCACCTCTGTAGACTCGCCTGATTCACCTTCTGAAAGTGAATCTGTAGGCATTTCTTTAGTTATTTGACTTAAAAGAGACTTTGAATTTAAAATATCTTTTTCTGGAAGGCAGCTTTTCAAGTCTTGGATTTTTCCAAATACTTTGTCTTCCAAACTGCTTGATGGTTTATCAGGAACACTCAGAAGTGGAGATCTACGACTTTTCTTTCTTGCTTCAATGCCCATAGGAGCTTCTGGTTTAGAAAATAATTGGTCTAAAAGGTCTTGCAGGTTTTTACTTAAAGTTGACTTAAACGCCATTGATTGTTTTAAATTCTCTATCTGGGAAGTAAGATCTAATGACTTTGAGAGGCTGCAAGTGTCTACATTTGTGGTCACTGATGATTCTCCTTCAGAACTTGATAAAGATACATTGGGTAGGCCTCCTTGTAACTGAGCATCTAAAGGCTTTATGGTGATGATCTCAGGACCACGAGCCCAGATCTCATCGGCAGGTCCTGCAGGGTTGAAATGTGCTGGGTAAGGAGGATCTTGATCTTCATGCTCTATAACCTCTGCACTTAAAATGTTTCTACATTTGGACTTATCTTGGTCTTTCACTTTTCTGACTGACATATTGTTGCTTATACTCCTTAATAAAGGATCTAAATTGTTCTTGATGTTGAATGTCTGTAATTGTAATATTAAAAAAAAAAAAAAGAAATCCTTTAGCATTTATTTTGAATTTATAATAAATTTTCAAGTTAATTTTCTTTGCACATTCTCTCAATGTGTATCTATTCATCCTCCTACCATCTACAAGGAGGAGGACACCAATGTTAATTAAATTATCTGAAATGGGAATAAAAATGAAAATTCCTATGCAAAATTTTCTCGAACTTCTAATTTTAACACTCTTTTTTGTCTGTGTGCTACCTGGAATATTTTTCAAAGTCACTGGTGTGTGTGTGTGAGAACTGCTCAATTTCTGGCATTAGCTGCATTTGCTTAGATAGTGGCTAACTTCAGGCTTTAAGTCCTTTCCAAACAAATATTTACCATTTTAGTGGCAATGTAGAATTTTTTTTTTTTTTTCAAATGTAAAGTAAGTAGTGGATCTCTCATTAAAAGTATCATTAATATACTCTAAAGGCATACAGCATCTGCCTTTAAGCTGAAAGCTTTAACAATGATGAGCTCCATCTAGTACTTAACATGTAACAGTAAAATCTTGCTTTTTGATGAATCATTATGGAAGAAACAGACAAAGCAGTCCAAAAAAAAAAAAAAAAAAAAAAAAAAAAAAAAAACCCCTCTGTATTACAGTGAAATTTCAGTGTAATAGCCATAGGTAGTTTTGTAGCTCTGACATCAAGCTACATTATTACTGAAAAAGCCTTCAAAATGAAGTCTCTATTCAAATCTTTTTTTCATACAATTTCTACATTATCCATTTGAAAGAAACAAAATGTGAAATAATCAACTTAACCTTGTTTTCGTTTATTTCAATTTAGTACTTTGAATTTAATTTTAATGGATACACTTGGTTTTCAAATGCTAGTTGACACCAAGGTGATAGCATAAGAATCCCCTACATTTTTTGAGAAATACAGATACTCAGTCAAGAATGGGACCTGAAAATACGTATTTTTTAAAGATAGCCAAGTGTTTCTAATGGCTTGTCAGGTTTTAAAGATCAATCCCTGTCAAGTTGATTCTAACCAGGGGGGATCCCATGTGTGCCAGAGAAAACTCTAGGGTTTTCAATGGTTGATTTTTTCCAGAACTAGATCACAAGGCCTTTTTCCAAGGCATCTCTGGGCAGACTGAAACCTTCAACTTTTTTATTAGCAGCTGAGGGTGTTAACTACCCAGGACTGTAAGCCAGGCTTTAGAATCATTTAATAATATGAAGTGGTCGAGAAACATGGTAATTGAGGATAACTGATGTTGGGATAGAATAACTCAGGACTCACCTGATATTGTGTTTTGCTTTCTATATAACTTGGACTGACAGATCGTGAAAACAAAACCTAATAAAAAAAAGTTTTAATTTTAGATTGCTTGTAATGCAAGAATATATCCCCAGATTATTTTATACTTTCAACCATTTAACAAAGATATAAGAATTTTAAAACCTAAATTAATATCTTTCTCACAATAACTATTACTTCACTTTGCCAATTAGCAAAGAAATCTGTACAGACACAATCTTTGTTATTGTTGGCTGCGTTTGAGTCAGCTCTGACTCATGGCAACTCCATGCATAACACAATCAGACTGTTCTGATTCATAGGGTTTTTACTGAGTGACTTAGCTCACCAGGACTTTTTTTCTAGTCTGTCTTAGTCGGGAGACTCCACTGAAGCCTATTCAGCATCATAGCAACACGCAAGACTCCAGTAACAGATGGGTGGAAGCGGTGCTTGAGGCGCACTGGTCAGGAATTGAACTTGTCTTTTGCATAAAACCAAAAACACCACACTCACTGCCATGGAGTCGGATCCAACTCATAGCGACCCCTTCTTGGGTTTCCAAGGTGGTATCATTACAGAAGTAGATTGCCCAATCTTCCTTCTGAGAAGTGGTTGGTGGGTTTGAACCGCCAGTCTTCTGGTTAGCAGTCAAATGCCTTAGGCACTATGCCACCAGAGTTCCCCTGTCTCTTGCATGGAAGGCAAGAATTCTAGCAATGAACCACCAGTGTCCCTATATATAATCTTAGCTTCTTTGATATTTTAATATGCACTCTTCTGTATTTGGAAAGTTAAAAAATAATGCACAACAACCTCAAGCAGAAAAAGAGGTAGAAAAGAAAAAGAATTATATAAAAAAAAATGTAATCTGATTTCAAAAGGTTGTGAAATACCAGTTTAGGAGATACTAGATAAAGAGGGAGAAGTATATAGAATAAAACTCAAAATCATAAAAAAGACCAGCCTTCCTGGTCTGATAGAGAATGGTGAAATCCCTAAGACTATGGCACCTAGCCACCCTTTGGGCCTGGAATTGTACTCATTCCAGTGGTTTCCAGCCAAACCATAGACAGGCCTACAAAGTGAACCTTTACACGGGGTAGGTACACTCCTTAGAACAATCACCCATGGGAGATCAGAAGGGCAGTATTTGCACAGGGAGATACTCAGAAGGCAGGAATGCATAGGAAAGAAGGACGCAGGGAAAAAGTAACCACAGGGAGGAAGTAGGAAGGGAGTTGTTACGTTATGGGGATTGCAATCAATGTCCTGAAACAAAGTATGTTTGAACTTGTATGGAAAATGAATTTTCTCTGTAAATTTTCAGCTAAGTCACAATTTTTTTTAAAAAAATGGTTGTGAAATATTGTAGAGAATAAGTGGCAGTGGACATAGCATTTTCAATTACACTCAACCTGTAATTGCCAAATGGGTACTTAAAACTGCTGAAATAAACACTGGTTACTAAATCAAGGTACAGAGAGACAATTACAGAATCATATAACCATCAAATTTTAGAGACTGAATCACTTTAGTAATAATCCCATCGTACTCCTTATTTTACACAAGAATCTGAAGTAGGTGTTTCTTGTTCTAAACTACCCAGAAGATTGTAGTCTAAATTCTAGGTGCAGTGATTTCTCAGCTGGTACTCCCTCCACCATACAATCAGGACTGCAGCCAGGGAGGCTGGCTTTAGAAGCATCTTAACATGCATTCACACTGCCAACTCATCTCGAGAAAACTTGATACCACCTATTTGTAGAAAGAGGGCTTAAAACTGCTTTCCTATTCATTATCTCTTTTAGTCTTAGAGGGTTCATTTTATACCAAGTTAATTAAAATAACAATGCAATGAATGATGTTTATTTACCTAAGAGATGCTTTTGGATTATTTTAAAGTTTCATTAATATCAATAAGCAGGAGGAGGCGGGGCAAGATGGCGGACTAGGCAGAAGGATTGCACAGACCCTCTTCAACAAAGAAAAGGGAAACCAATAAATACAGACACAGAAGATAATCTTGGACCCCTGAGCCTTGAAGGAAAGGATGCAGATTTGGACTAAACCCCAACTAGCAGAAGAATTTG